CTGAAAAATGGAGTATTTGATCACTGTATATATATATATATATATATATATATATATATATATATATATATATATATATATATATATATATGTAGCTTCAATTTAAAAAAAATGTTCGACGGATTGAAAAGAAGGATGTTTAAGAAATGTTGAGAATCCCCTTTTTTTGCGATCATCAATATGGTATTTTTATCATCAATATTGTATTTTTGCAATGTCAATTTTGGCAATATTCGATAGTGGGACATGCCGATTTTTAAGCGTCTAATGTTCTATGCAAGAAAAAACTTAATGAAAAAAATTGCAGCAAAAAAATTGTTTTTATAAGTTGTCCATAGCTTCCTTTTTTAATATTCTGTAAGTACTACATTCGAAGTTACCTTTATACAATTTGTAAACTAATAAACACGTTTTGTTAACAACCTGCACCCTTCATATGGAAAAGGAAGGATAGGGAAGAGGGTGGGATTTAACATGCGAGAGTTATCGCATGGGTAAGATAGAATTGATCAAATTTAGTGTTTAACTAGGCTACCCTACTCGTGAAATCGTGAAATTAAAAACAATAGTGTTTAACAATACATATAAAATACCCCAATCAGGTCGATGTATTTAAAGATGTGTATGGCTTTTGCTATTCGATTTTTCTTACCGCCCAGCGCTCTTGGCTATAACAATAAACTACGACTTATCTTAGGAGGCGGTATGTATCGATCGCTGTGTTGATGTGCAACATACCGCTTATATTCTATCACATAATCCTTTCAATTTTAAAATGCTTTCAGTTATTTTCAATATTCATTTGTGAAATAATCCTATTAAATACCACTCGTGTTTCGGAAATTCGCAGATAAATTCCCTCCTCGCTTAGGGAGTCGGGGATTTCTCAACAATTTTCAAAGCAATCGCTGTATTACATATGATAACAAGAGCATATGATAACACATCTGGGACCCACTATATTTTATTCAAGGAAAATATCACAAAATTTGGTTGAGTAGAACGCTCGCACTTTTTTACAAAGAAATACGACAAATAACACTAGAGGAAGAAAAGTTTCGGTAGGACGCGAATTTCCAATAGTTTTGGAGTAATTTTGTAATACTATCAGATAATTATTAATTCATGTCCTGAAGTATTTAAATATATTAGGAAACGTTGTTATAGTAATAAATCATGATGCAAGGACTTGTCATTGTCTCATGGTATTTAATGTAAGATATGACTTTGGATCTAGAATCTCTTTTATGATAGAGGGATTTCAGGATTCAAATTTTACATCTTAAATAAAAAAATGAATCTACGTTTGACCATAACTCTATTAACAATCACAATTTTTTTAAATTAATGTTTACAATCAAAATTACCGCTATTTGATGATTATGGCTCTTACTGACTTGTATAAGAAAATTAAAATTGTTATTTATCTCAAACGTGTACATATATTGTGATTTCAGGACAGAGAGAAGCCCCTTCCTCTTCCTTGAGCCGTCCGTACAGCTGATAGAGTGTGATAAAACATTTGAAAACACCAAACTGCATGTTTGAACTCGAATCCTCTTTTTTATTTTTACAAATTTTGAAATCGTTAAATTCTAAATTCGAAAATAATATTTTATGCATGTAGTAAAAGTAATATGTTTTAAATGTGCTGTTTTACTTAGAAAATGTACGAAAATTAACGGTACCAAAAATGATTCTGTCTTCACCATACATTGTCACTTTTAACGTTTTAGTTTATATTATTAATAGCAATATATTATTAAAAACGTTTTTCTTTCTGTTCTTGTTTCCGTTTTGAACAGTTTATACAAGAGAATACATTAAGGGAAGGAGAAAAATAAGTTATCATCTACAAGCGTTGTATATATTTTTCAATTCATGTTATTTTCATTTGTAGAGATATGTTTAAAGGCTATTTCCTCCAGTGTATCGCCTCAAGTAATAATTTAATATGGAAGGTAAATAATGACAAGGTCATAAACGTGTTTTGAATACTTACGGAGCCATGTCCTTCTGCGAGAAAGAAGATGATCTAGTACGTGTAGAGACAGTATTCTTTTGGTAAGCAATTGCACGAATAACCAATCGCGAGAGTGACAAGATTACTTAATTATTTCGTAAATGAGTGAAAACGTCGAGAGATTGAACTCGTATGAAGAGATTTACAAGCGCCTCTCTCTTTAAGTGTTCACAGGTGCGATAAGAAATAAAAGAGTAGGGATAATGACAGGCACACGTTCGTGAGTGATGTGTTTAATATCATAATGACGAAGTATTTTGTACATTTCAATGGATGAATTGCATTTTGTCTTGTGACGAAACGATTTTAATGAATTTGCACCGTCATTTGAAGTGTAAGATCTTGCCAACTGTGGTGTAGGTTTGAAGGCGGGAGGGATCAACCTTAAAAAATGGTTGAAATAAATAAATTTAACAATAAATTTAGTTAAGTCGCTTAAACACGAGAAATGGAATTTGATATTACATAGATTAATATTACTTTGAATATAATTTCATTTCCAAATTCACTTTTGTATGTCTGCTCATAAATTACTATGTACTACCCTGACATCGAAATTCGGGATAAATTTTGGAAAATGCTCCAAATTTTGACAATAGACATTTCCAATCGTTTTTAGGCTTTTGACTTTCTGCTGGAGATAATATTTTGAAAGAACATCTTCTTCAACCTCAAAACGAAAAAGGTGTGCACGAGTCCGCAATTACAACAAGATGAAGAAGATTGATGGAGATTTGAAAATCTAGTATTCAAAAGATCTCCTCTTTTTTATTTTTTCAGTCCTTAGGAAGAAGATATGAAATGAACTGAATGTATTCAGTTCCTTTAACTTAATGAGTCCTTTTCCTTTATGAATAGCCAACAATTAAGCTTCCAGTCATGCAATTACGTATAAAGCGGTAGTTCAAAACATTTTATATTAATAAACGATATTTTGCATGAATAAAATTTGATATTCCTAATGTTAGAACTTCTTCTCCTAATTAAATATCTTCTTCTAAAGCAACATTATTTTGATTCATCTCAAACATACTCACGCGTTATTAATAAATCTATCTCATAGCTTTATTAATAAACCTATTAATTTCATTAGCAGCTATTGTAGCAAGTGTGAAAGATAATACTGAACATGTTAGTTGTTAAGGCTATCAAAATTGTAGTTCGCATTTTGTGGGAGAGCAAATAAAACTCGTAACGTCGACTGGCGCACCCAAACAGCATCCAGTGATTTTGGCTCCTGAAATAGAACAATTGAATGGGGGACAACCGGAACGGTAAAAGTGACATTTTATAAATTTTAAGAAAACCATGTTTATATTAGGATATATTTCAGTGCCGATGTAATTTGGTAGGTAATTCAGTGTGGTTTTAATGAACAATTGAAATGCCGTGGGTTTAATGACGACACAAAATATCACGCTTTTACAGAGATATTGAGTTCAATGAACACTTTCCTCAGAATTTATAAAATACCACTTACACCATTCTGATTTTCACCCATTTAAATTATGATGTCAGGACGTGCAAACGTTATTATCGGTTTGCTAATACTAAATATCTCAGGAACAATATTATGTCATCTGTTTTGGCGTTATTTCCACGTTTTTTTATCAATTCGCGTTGTTCACGTCACCTGACATCTCCAGGTTGAAGGCGCGTGCATTCCAGAGAGACGCGGGTTAGAGCGGAGAAGAGATACAACAGAATACGACAGAAGTAGTGTCCGCCGTAGGGCGGGAGTAGATGGAATTCCCCTTACTTTTTGGTAAAAAATTATGATAAAAACCCCAGCAACGCGGGGTTCTTCAGTTACTATTATATTATAATACTGAACATAAAATTTGTACAATCTAAATTATTTTTTTTCATTTTGGTTAATCAGTCATTTTCCTTACCTGGGTTGGTTTGCACCCCAATTTACATATTCCCAGAGAAAATCCGGTCCCCAATTTACATGTAGAGTTTGAAAGTAAGTTTCACGAGATAAGATGAAGGAATTATTTGATCCCCAACTCACATACGGCCTTCGCTCTGCTTTGCCTGAATTAGCTCAGACCCCGAGAGCCTACACAGTATGTGCGAGTAGGAGCCCGCACCAGGATCGAGCCCAAAAGTAACAGAAATATTCACGCGTCTTAGTATAACGATTGATTTCTACATTTATTTTCGCTTGCTTACAATTAATTGGTCGATTATAACTGATACAGTTCGTTCTGATTTCGAGTAACATGTCCATGCTCTTTTAGAGCACTGCCAATGACCGCTTGAATGTTTGTGGCAAGAAAACGTGAAACCTATCACGAGTATCTTCTTCCCCCGCTGACTCACATATGCAATTCTGAAGGTTCTGTCGTGTTCACCTGTGTTCAGGTTTTATCTAAACTATTGCGGAACATCTATTTGCACTGCTTTTCATTTGATAACTTTTCAAAAATGTTTACTCCTTCCGAAACTCCAGATGAATGAAATGGGATGGAATCGGGCTGTACATTCACAGGTAACAAAAAGTTTAAGGGAATTGCTCGTGAAGCAGGGGTGAGAGAAAACTGACCGCGAAATGCAGTCGGACGAATCCCGTCCTCTTAGCCCAGAAAATGGTCAGTGGGGGAAGCTGAAGTATCACAGAGACAGTATTTGTTAATTTTGAGTCAGTTTGTAAGAAGACTTTGCGATTACGCGTCAATCAGCATCTTCTACGCCCTTTATAATCCCCTCCCATCTCTCTCACACTTAGTTGATTAAATTCATGTTAATTCAGTTCATACTTATTTGTTTACGTAAAGCATTGATGCCAATCTCTCCAATCACCTCCCCAAGTGTCAGGCTCTCTGCCTCCGTCGCGCAACTGCAGTAAACTGCATGAAGTAACAGAAACAAACATGATTATTGATGACTAAAAGAAGGAAAATAACAAGAACAGAACGAAAATGTTTTGAATTGAGCTTTATTCCAATAATTTATTTTTCAAATTATATTACAATGAAAACATTATTCTAGTCTTAAAGGAAGATTTCCCGCATTAGTATGCTTTTCAAAAACCAATTACAAAACAAACTTGCAGATTCATGCATATACTCTGGATGTTATTCTCTTTCAAATACCGGGTGTAAACATCTTCCAGGTTAATCTGTATTGTAACGTTAATGTATGTATGCGTATGAAATGTAATAAATCATCTGAATAACAATGAATATGTAGAAATGTAATGAATCTACAATAAATACTACAAAATAATGAAATAAATTGTTTCTTAGTGGCATAAAAACTGATATTCGCTCTAACAATTTTCGGGTCATCTGAAATTTAAAACTTCATGACATACTATTGTGAGGAGGTAATATTTGACTTTTCTTTTGGAAAGATGAACTAGCTTAAACGTAAGACCTTGTTAGCCTATATAATATCACTTACGCTTACAAATATTGCTAATATGAAATGATTATGAACCAAATAAGTTGTTTTATTTACATAAATCTTATGTATTTCTGCCGGAATGGTTAATGTCGAGCAAATTACAAGATCCACAGTTGTGTTTTTTTTTAATTTTTAATCTAAAACACCGCGTTCATTAAAATACAGCAAAACTGGCTCGAAAGCTTTCCGAAACTCGGGGCTCTCATAAACTTTATTAAACAATTGAATCTCTCCATTTTCCAGAGTCAATTTCTCTAAATCAATTATATCATTAGGATTAGCTAAAACCACAGCTAAAATCGATATCGCAGAGTATAATCCAAAGCAGCTAGTTCTTTTCATCTCTTGGTCAAATTCGTCAAAAGTAAAAAGTTCACACCCATAGTCGAGTTTGTTCACCGTGTCCTTTAATTCATTATAATATTCGCGTAGAAAACTATCATAATGCAAAAATAAAATATCGCTTTGAAGGCTGGAAAATAAAAAGTATTGCAAATCAAACGCCGGAGAATTTTTTCTTGTTATTTGATAATCAACAAACCGCACATCAACTGGTTCGCCTGTTTCAGTGTATTTGAATAGAATATTGTTTACCCAAGTATCTCCATGAAGAAGAACATGTTGGAAGCCTTTAAAGTTGCACATATCTATGAGTTTATCCATTAACGTTTGTTGTAAACGTTCCAACTTTTTTTCTATTTTGTCAAACCCTTCCCACTTCTTCACCACTTCAGTAATGTCTCTTAATGTAGGCGGAATAAATTCCAAAAGTCTTTCTCGATTACTTTCGCTGTACATAAATTCTTCAAATTCAGACAGAAAGTTTGGGTTTTTCTTTGTATAAGCAATGGACACCGCGTGCAAACGAGCCAGGCTCTGTATGACCAACTTAGCGTGTGAGAAATCGAGACGATCTTTTCTAGACGCCATGACAAAACCATGAAATTTGAGATCGTCAAGAATTATGGTGTCTGCACGATCAGTCTCGTGGTAATCTGCAGAGAATCTCTTGAACGAATCATTACCTAGTTGACTGTCAGCAAACGCATAGAGTTTGGGAAGGATATCTCTGTAAATGGAGACTTCCCGTCTAAAAAGATTTAACTCTTCTATTAGCCCCAGCATGTATTCACCGTCTGGCAGTCCTTTTATTATGAGTCTCTTGCAATGCACATGATCTGAATCTTGTAGTTGGTACTCCGCTCGCACCCGGTAAATAATACTAAGATAATTGTCTCCTTTGCCAGTGGCACGTTCCACGTCGACGCGTTGAATGGAGGCGCCCTGTTTCAAAATCTGCTTTAAGATCCCTTCGTCGATCCAGGATCCATCGCTTTCTTGCTCCTGTTTTGTGAGTGCAGCTGGTTTCGGGTTTCTAAAATAGACAAACATTGAAATTATTAAAATAACGCTAATGCAGCCTCGTTTCATAAGGGGGATTGCCTAAGAAGAGTCTCCAGGGCGAGAATTTTGTATAAAGCGATTTGAATTTATAAGAGTTATTTAGGGAAAAACAGTTCATTAATAGTATTACTTGCACTTAGTTTATAAAGTTATCCTTTATTGCATCAGTACAAGTTCGTGCGAATGCAATCGGATGCAATAAAGCAACATTACAATCGATTTGTATACGATATTTTTGTACATTATAAGTGTATAAAAACAGAGTTAATTTTGGAAGCAAATTTCAAAAGCTGTTTTGTAATTGGCAACATAAGACGTTGGTATTATTACGTCACACAGAGAGCACGGGCACGAAAGTCAAGAGGCAGTAAGGAAAGTATTGAAGACGTGCAGTGAGGACGGGCAGTGAGGATTGACAGTGAGAATGGGTAGAACGACGAGTGGGTGGGACGGGCAGGGAGGACGGATGAGGATGACGGACAAGCGGGGAGATCGGGTGGGGAAGCCCGGTCGTGCTATAAAATGCCCTGATTATGAACGATTTTTTGCAACGGAAACGTTCGTTTAGAATGCTGGTATACAAAAAGAATAAAACGTTTATAGCAATGGAAGTCTTAATGTACTATAGCAACCCAGAAGATACGTACATCAGTGTAACAGAAGCAATCGAGTTAAAGGGATGTTAAAATTATGAAGATTTGTGGAAAGAAAAAACAATTAATTTTCGAGTCTAGAATGATTTGATAAATCTTGCATTTCATTAATCTATCTCTAGGATTAATTTTAAGTTTCAAAATCCTTTGAGCGCCAAGTATGTCACGAATGAATGGCTAGAAGGAAACATGCTTCTTAAAAAGTGTTATCTGAATGTTTACGTGTTGAGTTGTGTCAGTTGGATATTACATATTGAGATGTGGCATCAAGGAGGTCAAGTAACTACCAGTTTTAAATACTATCTTATTATTTCGCGAATAATTCAATATTATAATTTTCTTATATTTTGTAGTGACACTAAACACGAGAATTACCATTTAATTCTCATTTGCAGATTTTAAAAAAATATTAAAAATGAAGAAGTGTGCATTTAAAAAACAAAGATATAATGTTTAAAAGGATATTTTAAAATCATAAATAATTTTTCTCCTTCAAAGTGAATCCGTGGAGGAAAAAAATTCGAAAAATCACGCGGTGAGAAATATAACGAGAATTCATAATTTTTCATATAACTTAATTTTCTCTAATTTATAGATAAGTTTCTTTACACCGATAACTATCTCCTTAAATGTTATCAACAATATTACAAAATGTTTTACGAAGACGTTAGAAATTCACTTTAAGCTTCTTTCTAAGTGTTATCAGATGCATACTATTCCCAAATACAAAATTGTATATTTATCTAAACTATTTCTCTATATAATTCCGGTAACGGGATTGAATTGTGAGAAACCCATTGCACCTGAAATGTTGCAACATGGCTAATTCTATTCGTTATTAACTGTTTATACAAGCCATCTATTCAGCAGTCGTTCACTTTGCTACCTCTATAACGCTGTTCTCTTTCTTTGTATTCGGTGCATGAATACTCTGCTTATCAGTGCAGTATAATTCGGTGTATAATACGTTATCGCATTTGTAACTGATCTAGGAAGAACATTCTTAATTTTTAATAGCCGTTAATTAATATATGACATAAAGCGTAAAACTGTAAGTTTATTTGAGGTATTAAATGTTCTGAGTAATTCAATGTTACGTCTCAATATAACTTTGATGTTATGTTTCAAGGAGGGCAAATATACTCTTAGTATTAAATCTTGTATATACCTCATACATGTGCACTTTATAACTCTTTTATAACATTTTTTCGTATGCTGGTTGAAACGATAAGTCAACAACCAACACAAAAATTTCAAGAAAAAATGAAAAATGTCAAGTCTAAATTGTACGAAAACTACTCGTTTTTTTCAAAAACGTATAGACTAACTTTTTTTAAAGAGCTGACTTTTTGGAACAAATGTTGTCCGAGGCAAAAACATCTACCTTCAAGTTTGTAGTTTTGAAATGTTAACTTTTTGCAGTTTTCAAAATTACAGAGTTTGCCGAAAATGGGACAAGTACCACATTTTTTATCGATGACTGAGGACAATAATTATAATATAATTTACAATAGCAATGCAATGATGTGAATCGTTATTACTGCTTACGATGCATGGTATACTTACGGAGACATGATTGTGAAGAGGTGGACGAAGATTTGCCTGCGGTTACGAAGCTCTCCACAAGCTCTCTACGACGCACTAGGCGTGAGTGAGGATGACTGACTTTATCTCGCCAATAAGAGGCTGAACGCGCTTGGCACGAATCACAAAGCGCCCTGTTTTTTGCTTATTCATTTAAAGGGTTGATAAGGGAGGTGGAGTATTTCACCATAGTATACTACAATACAATGTTTGTGAAACACTGCATAACTGATGTTATAACGTTGCAATATTTGTATGTAAACATGATTGGATGAATGGATCATTGGCTTCAGATTACGTTTCAAGATATTTCACGATAAGAACATTTACTCATTGTTTTTTCCTATACTACGTGACAGTTTGGGAAATGGCATAAAGTATAAGTGGAAGAAATATTGCGCATGCATTACATGAAGTGAAAGGTTTGTTACATCGTGTGGTGCAATATCTTTTTCTTTTTAAGGACATCAGTCTGGTTGAAGTCATGATTTTGTTTCAGTTACTTGCGTGTTGCCCTTAGGCGTGAGAGGTTTGAATACACGCTTCTAATATGAGTAGGGGCGGATTTTGATGACATAAAACACCGCCAAAAATGATCTATAAAATGCTCTTAAAAGTTATTAAAATGCCCTAAAACAAATAAAAATGACGTAACAATTTTTATCAAAACCAATTCAGATGGACAACGCAAGCTGTTGGATATGCATTTCTACATTTTTGGGCTCGACTTGAACACGACAATGGGCGAGTGTTATGAGCACAAAATTAATTTGGGCGTTAATAGTTTAAATTCCGCCCCCTAGTTATGAGTTTTGAAGTGTTCAGATTCATAAAAATGTGATGGTTATAATTGTAAAAGAAATTTAATATTATGGATTTGTATTTTTCTGAAAATTACAGGAATAATTAACTGTTTTATATCGATGCGTAAAATGATGTATTTTTTTTAAAATTGGCAAATAATATTATTTTAATAATTTGTCTAGTTCCAGTCAATATCTTTGCGTCAATTGATGGAATGATCCGTTTGGAAGGTAAAAAGTTGCTCATTCGCTCGAAGAAATTATTACTATTAAAAGAAAAACCTGTTAGCTATTTCAGTTCCCAAATTCAGCCAAAATAAATGTTACAATACAAATCCTTATGTTCTATACAAATTAATTAATTTAGTCGTTGCTCTGTGCGAGAATGTGTGATTAACGTTGTGGAAACAGTTACACTGATTGAGAATGTATTATGGGGAAGATTAATATAATAAGGACAGAAATATTAAAAGCACCTAAGTTTTCAACAAATAGTTTATTTAATCTTACTACATAGGCTCAAGCCGATTTTTTCTGTGACATTACTGTTTAGAATACCTAATGCATATTTCAATATTACAAAACAAACTTCCAGATGATTCCAATTTAGTAACATATTCTCCTCTTTCAAGTGGCTGTCTTTCAAACGCTTGAAGCAAACAATTAAAAATTAATGAAGTGTTCACAATTAGCATAAAAGATAATATAAATAAAATAGGAACACAAAGACGTACTACGTAGGAACAAAATAGTCACAACGATGCGTATCAGTAAATTACAATGTAATGTCCATGTGCTTGAAACAATACATCCCTTGTAATCTAAAATTTATTGCACGTATTTCCATAACAGAACTTATATAGTATTTAGGTTGTATGTGGTATGCTCTATCTCGAATTTCCGATAGTAAAATAATAATAATAAACTTATCTCTTTCAATGAAAGTATTTTCAAAATATGTTTTTTCTCAAATCACCAACTACGATGCTATGTATATCACAACAATATATCAAAAATACCAATAATTATGGCATTTCCATGTATATATAAACTCCGCTGAATTAATATTATGTAATATTTTGATAATTCATATCCAGCTGATAAAGCTTTAGCACTCTTATATGAATGTCCTTTCGGTTACAGATACCAATAATTTGTTCTTTTTTTAATTTTATTTCATTACAAACAGTTATGCACATCATATTAAAATAAGAATCACAGCTTGATCTCGTCCAAAACACCCTGTTTATTAAAATGAAGCAAAAGCTGCTCGAAACATCGACGAAACTCCGGAGACTCGTATACCGAGCTTCCAAAAAACTGGACTTCATCCTCGCTCACTGTCATCGTTTCTACATCGTGCACGTCCTTTGGGTCAGCTAAGAGTGGGGGCAAAATCGAAATAGCAGAATAGAATCCAAAGAGAGAAGTACGTTTCATCTCTCGTTTCAAGTCTTCCAAGGTAAAGAGCTTTCCTCCGAAACGAAGATTCCTTGCCGTGCGCTTCAATTCATTGTAATATTCGAGAAGAAAGTCATCATAGTGTAAAAATAAAATTTCATTTCGAACGCTCGCAAACAAGAAGTACTGCAAATCCAACGCAGGAGATTTTGTCTCGGATGCTTGGAAATCAACGAGTCGCACATCAACTGGTTCCCCTCTCTCCGTGTATTTGAAGAGAACGTTGTTTACCCAAGTATCTGCATGGAGAAGGGCACGTTGGAAGCCATTAAAATTGGCGACTTTTATTATCCTATCAACGATAGTTTGTTGCAGACGTTCCAACTTATCTGCAATTTCGTCAAAACCTTCCCACCTCCTTACCTCTTCAGTAATACCCTTTAAAATGGGAATAATATATTGATCTAAGGTTTCCCTTCTATTTTCGCAGAACATAAAGTCTTCAAATGGTGCTAACAAACTAGGGTTATTTTCCGTGTATGCAATGGAAACTGCGTGCAATCGAGCTAAAGTCTGTGTAACAAGCTTTGCGTGTGTGAAATCGAGACGATCTTTTCTAGACGCCATAACAAAACCTTGAGATTTAAGATCTTCAAGAATTAATATGTCTGTTCGATCAATTTCGTAACAAGCTGCAGAGAATCGTTTAAAGGAGTCTTTGCCAAATTTGTTATCAGCAAACCCGTACAGACTAGGTAGAACATCTTTATATATTGATATTTCTCTCTTAAAAACGTTCAGATCTTCAAGAAATTTGACCACCAACTCATTCTGTGGATGGACTTTAATTATGAAACTCTTGACATATAATTCATCAGATCCTTGTAGTTTATATTCTGCTTTCACCCGATGAATGACACTTAGATAGTTATCACCTTTGCGCGTAGCGCGCTCAACATTGATCTTCAGAATTGTGGCTTTCGGGTCCAGAATGTATTTTAAAAATTCCTCGTCAATCCACGATCCATCGTCTTCTCCCTTATCAGTGCGTGGAGCTTCCTCAAGGTCTCTGAAATTAAAAAAGAAATTAAAAGATAGATCACTTTGCAGGACGCATACGGTGTATAAAGCTTCTTAGCTATAGTTCGTAGAGGTAAACTAAAACATGTTTGTAATACATTTACAAACATTAACAAAAATAAAGCTTTAGTTATTCCTAGAAAAATTAGCGGTGCTGCAATATAGAATACATTTTCTCGCGTTATTTATAATTATTATGTTAAAGATATTAATTATATAGCAATTATGTACTTATAATATTTTAGTTGTTATGTGCAAAATTCTCTTTATCAAACTGTTTGAAACGCAGCAGACCAAGTCTACATTCTAGAATATTCAGTGATCAAGTGAATAAGCTAAACTTATCTTTTTTCTGCATTCATGGTCACACTTGTGCACAGCAACTCTGGATTTATTTATCTAAATGATATTCAACCGCGTTAGTTATCATAATGTTTGATTTCTTTAGCTTTATGAATTTTCATCCTCGCTTTCATTAATGTCAAACAGCTCTGAAGAGAGCCACAGCAAGATGGCCGAAACATCAGCACATTAGACCGAGACGCGGATCAACCCGGATAGCCAAGAATGAAATGTCAAACACGTTTCTCAAAAGTAACTCTACAACAGATACAACAGAAAATGTTGAATATAATACTTAAGACCTCAATACGATGGTTTAGTTTTATTTTCTTATACATTTAGATTGTAGATATTGTGGTAAAAAATGGAAGATTTTCACATTTTGTGCCTCCTAATACTTTAATTGAAGCGAGGTTTTCGGAATATCACAGCAGAAAAAAACCTCTTTTCGAGATAATGTCTAGGTTTTGAAAACTATGCGTTTAAACATGTCTGAAAATACGCCAACATTTGTTCACATACAGAAGTACTCTAAACCTTAAAGACTGCGAGACATTTCATCAAAAATCATTTAATGCTTTTGTGATTACAAATGGTTCAAATTGCTTATTTATTATTATAAACATTTTCAGGTTTTACAAAGTTCAGTTTACACTCTACATTTGTATTGTTAGCATAATATAAACTTTATATTAATAACTTAATTCTAAAAAATTACATTTTTGGGGGAGGAATCTTTTACGGGGAGACTTCAGGAAAGTTACATTTCGGAAAACGTTGTGAGGAAGGTTTAAAAGAGAAATCTATTTTTAATACATGTATTATGAGTGAGATTTATTCCTAACAGGAAGAGACGCATTCTGGTGATTTGAGATATGCTACGGTAAAACTGTGTGGAGAAATACGTGATGCAGTTTTCTAAAGTTTCGAGTTGGAATTCATTGTGCAGCTGTTGGTTGGAAATAAACTATGGCGCATTTGTAATTATACGGAGGAATTGGTTTTGAACGATCTGTAGTTTCTCTGTGTTCAACCTTGCGACATTTATCGAAACAAGACAAGCATATAATAAGAGTGACCTAATTATGGTTTTAAATATACATAATTAGGGCTGTGTTATATGGAAGTTTCGTTGACCTATTTAATATTGTTCAGGTTAGATGTTAAATTACCAAGGTAACACCAGTTTTTCATCAACAAGATATAAAATTTCCAACCCCATATTAATAAATTATAAACAAAATACACATTTCCAGGAATTAGAAATAAGAAATTTCATATCTGACATTTTAAAGAAATAAAAATAGTTCGTATTCTCTATTACAGTGATCGAGCTGTATATAAATATACTGATACATAAACCATGTTAACCAAACACTAAATTAAGTTCTTCATGCTACGCTTTCAGAATTCTTTCAAATTCATTCAGACTCCACACTGCTCGTTGTGTATATTTCGCGAATGTTCATTCCCGCTTGACATTTGGCATAATATTCTGGGGTAATACATCTTATAGCTCCCAGACTTTCAGATTACAATAAAGAATTGTACGAATAATAAGCAAAGCCACCCACGTGATTCTTGTAAGCCTCTCTTTATTAATCTAGTTATTTTACCATTACCTTGTCCTTCATATATGAATCAGTGTTTTTGTCAAAAATGACTTACTTAGGGGCGGTAATATATTTTCAGGAAACGCCGTTGTCTATAACTACAACATTCGACGTAGTAATCATATTCATCAGGTAACAGTATAACAGCTCACAACAAAAAATTCACACACACTCTAAACAATTATTTTACACCACCTTGCCAGATGACATTAAACGATTAAATTCGATACAAAAGTTTTAAGTCCCAAGTTAAATATTTTCTGCTGCACCACTGTTTCTATTCAATTAGAGACAGTACCGAACATCCGAAATGAAAGTAATATTAATTTTAACAATGACATTTAATGTATTACATATCATTTGAATTGAATAATTAAAGGAACCTATAACAATTTTTGTACTTCAGCTTCCGTGTCAATCACACTCACCTCGATCAGGTGTTTGTCCAGTTTCCCTAATCCTAGAGCAAATACTGAGATGGCCCCATGTTTTGCTTCTGGGCGTAAATGTAACTTCAAATTAACTTCTGCCCATAGCACGTCACATACAATTTTAAACTGTTTTTGACGTAAATAAATAAAAACAAATGTGAAACTAGGCCCTCGGTGGCTCGTTGGTTGCCTGCTGCTTTCCACGGCGCAACCCCGGGTTCCATTCCCGGCTGGGCAAAAATACTAATCGTGCCCTGTATTATCAGTCACGTTATATACTATTATGTAGTCAATTATATATTATTATATAAGTCACTTTTTAAAAGATTTCTAGATAGCAATTTTAAGCATCAAAATTACATGAAAAATTACTCTGAGCCTTTGGTCTTACTACAATTTGCCATCATTGTTTTTTCGTAAACTTAAGAGTTTTGCCTACTTCTAAAATAAACAAGAGAGACGTATGTCATTTTGTGTTCATGTCATGCAAAAGGGAGTTATATAATTTTCCCATCTTAGCATCTATTGCTGTGTGACGATGAGAAAGCTCATTCTAAGATCGGAATGTACGGAGAACGGGGTGTCTTCGTGCTAACCACACGAACCCCTTATCCATTAGGCCGAGAGGTTGGGTCACCGCTGGTGGGCCAAGGCCTGTAGCGGGTTGATGAGCCACAGGACAGGACCATATGAAACTTTGTTCAATGACGCCGCTTTTTCTTATCAACTACGTACGCCTTCAGATAGTTTTTATATTACCACGGTGAGATAATAACTGCTAAAAACAATGAATCGAACGTCAATGTCTACGTTCTCTATTGCCCATGCTCATGTTTGATTTCCATATTAATAACATTTACACGTATCCCATTCAGAACGCCCATAATCAGCACTACAGCAATTAATGTCATCCGTCGTGAAGAAAAAAAATTATAACTGAGTAGTTGCGTCTAAGCTGTGTACTCTAACACGTAATGACGGAGCATGAAACCACATTGTAAAACTATCATATAGAGAACGCCTGAAATTAAAATTTTAAATCCTGATTTTTCTCACTGGTAAAATTTATTAAATATTTTTACATGTGAGATGAAAATATAAGTTGCACGTAACATTGTGAATAATTCTGGAAATAAGTTACAATTGTACATCACTTGAGTATTTATTATCTCATATCTCAGTATACCTTTCCATTGCAATCAATTTTAGAGACAATCAGAATTAGTTTCATTGAAATATAATAATAACAGTAATAAGAGTTTATTACATTTATAAGCAATTTATATTGTATCCGCGTCTTTCTTACTTATTATGTAAAACAAATAAAGAGCCGGCTCAGCAACTGCCCTCAAAATCTTTCGGAGACCGGACGAATCGCGATGGGAACGTAACGCAGGAACAAAACATAAACAAATAGGTGAGCTGGACATCGCACATAAGGCAGAATTACAGAAAAGTTACATAAGAAAGTACAACAAATACGGAAAAGAAAAATCGCTTCCATAACATTTTTTCATGACGTTCAGAACTCATTTTCAACGACTAATGAAATGAGGGAGATATACAAATTCTGTATAAATATTATCACAAGGGACAGATTTCCATAACTTCAAATATCAAGATAATGATAAATAAATTGCTCTTAAACTGTTTTTAAAATGCCCTAGAAAAATTAGGTAAAAAATTTGATCCAAACTAGATGATGAAAAACGAATAACTGAAACTGTTGGACATGTTGCTGATGTGCTCGAGACTTCTACCTGTCGTGCATGGGAACTCAGCTTGCATAATTTTGGTTTGGACTGGACGAGGAAATCTCTGTCTTCAGTTTTCGTGAAATCTGCCGAACCGACAATGATGCTTAACTTAGGAACCTTAGATTACATACAACTATAGAAAATTACAGTTTCTGAGCAAGGAATTCGAATTACCAACTCAGGAATTCTTGAATATTTGTTGCATCTCGTAAATATTATTTGATGCCAGTTCCATTGAATATATATTAAAGTTTATTAAATCCGCGTTATGCGTTAGCATTATTATCAATTATTGTAAAATATACCTCATCATTTGTATGAAGATATTTGCGTGTTGTTAATAAGAAATCATAACTATGTGATAAAGCTTTTATATATGGCATAGTGTGCGTCTAAAACATTGGATTTTGTCCTGATACTTACGAAGACATAATGGATGCAGAGCGTACGTCTTTGCAAAATTCTTCTAAGCAAGCGTCTGCTGATTAAGCGCAAGGTACACTTGCAAATCACTATGTCACAAATTAATGTATCCGCTGGCAGACAAGATGCAAGTGAGACAACTTGTTACCTCACTGTGCCTTATATCTTTGAGGAGTTTTGATAAGAAAGTGAAAGGAATTCTCTGTGGTGGGAGCAGCGCGTATTAATCCTCGCTGATACAAGTTCAATATTACATTACTTCTGAATTGAAACATGGCTGACCAATAGTTTTCCATTATAGAAATGTAAATATCAAAGCATATAGAAAACAGAATTATACAACTCTACCACGGCTAATCTCATAATCGACGCAGAGAGAGCATATTTCAACAGAAGTGTCGTACGCGAATTAAAATTCACATTCCGGAACATCGTAGCTATTTCACTCCGAATAATCGTTTGACTCCCTAACTCAGTTTGAAAGATTGATATTTCCTATAATTGAGATAGATATAATGTTTCGGAACGTGAATTTTAAATTATGTTATTTCTGCTGTAACTTCCTGATCTACGCATCGATTATGTGATTCGTAGTGATAGTCTTATGTAAATCTGTTATCTGTTCAACTTGATATTTCCTGTTAGATAATGAAAAACAATTGCAGAAACTAAAATAAAATTAAAATTACGTGTTAAAATGAACAAATATCTAAGATCATTCAAACAGGCAAAATTCACAAACAAAACACAAAGTTCATTATAATCTAAATATTGATTTCATAAACATAAATACATTAATATACACATGAATATACACAATCCGCTTAATATCAAACACATTACACACAAAACTAAATTAATGTACCCCGTATGATTTTTGGGGTGCATTTGTGGATCGATTATCCGACTTTGCCTTCTAGCTAACGGTGTCCCCCATGCCAGGGCATAGTTTAATTCCCACGCTTGGAGGGTAAGAGGGACATAACTATGGTGAACATGACATATTCCCTTCACAGTAACCAGCAAACTCCGTATACCCGAGTTTTATTTGTCACACAGATAAAGAAACTGAGACGAATTTCAAGGACAGCAAAAATTCTATTTTTGCTCTGACCGGGGATCAAACCGGTGCCTGTCGCACTATGGGAAGCTAGAACGCTGCCATATTAAGGCTCAAAATCAATGTATCAATCCATTATTTGAAATAAATCAGTTTAAAAATGTCGCCGGACAATCTTTTACATGAAATCAAAGAGCTTTCTTTACTCGGTCCTCTTCTCTTTATTCCTTTCCATTCACAAAATGCTATGGTAACAAAATGTTGTATTGAAGAAAATAAGACAATAGCAAAAAATGTATACATTTCACTTTAGCGAATTATCAAATGTTTAGATCTCATTAGTTTTCATATAATCTTAAGTAACAGTATGTTCAATTTCCTATTTAAAGTATCAATACAATTCATGTTAGGCTTTTTTTACTTCAAATCATCGAACTGATTTGTTCAAAACATTAAATAATGATCGATTTTGCGTATAATTTTGAACTACAATTATTCAAACAATATATTTTGGACTTTAAACGTATCATCAATATTTGTTGATGAGATCATTATGTATGGACGTATAAATTGTGAATTTTCAAATGTTGATTATTTTTGCAGTGACCACCTTTGCATACAACACGTACTATATTTTTTTACATCATTTAGATACTCACGTGGACACAGCTGCAAAAGGTATTGGCATGTCAGGAACTTCAATAGCACCAAATATGGTTACAGAGTGTCACCAGTTAGCGAGAACTCTTATAGTATATGCTCCAGTATTAGGAACTAAATAGTGTTGTAAATGTTTTGTTTCCAATTATCTTTTTTATATGCAGACGGACAGCACTAAATATTTTGCCGGAGATAACGAAGCGCTCATTTCGACCAGGTACTGCACTGACTTGCACCGGTACTTCGCAGCCGAAATTTGAACAAATCAATGCATTCGTTCGATATAATTTTACAATCCATGAATTTTTAAGCACTATCTATTAGCTAGTAACAATGAAACAATTAGTCGTGTATTATGGCTTCCCTGATCACTTGATCTCTCTTGAAACTTTTTTTTACTTTGGGGGCAATTGGGGCAATTGAAAGAATACTTGTTAACTGGAAACCCTCCTTCGGAGGAAGTGCTCCGTCACTCTATCAAGGAGAAACTCTTCTCAGTGAATTTTGATTTGCTTCAAAGATTAACCTTCGAGCGATCGCACTGGCGGTATAAGTGCCGCCTTTGAAAGTAAAACGTCGCTGCACGTTGATGATTGAACTTAGCATGTCGAGGAGCCAGAAATTCTCCTGTTATCTATTAAGACACTACATAGAGGTACACTCTTCTCCAAGACCCCCTCACATTTCACGTAAAAGTTACCAACATCGTCACTCTTTGGTCTACACTGCACAAACACCGCCACGCGATCGCGCATATTCCAGTCTTTTTCTTTTTTTTTCTTCACGGGTGTGATGAATATGTAAGAATATTTTTCATATATTTTTGTAATAAAAATGTCATAATAATTCTCTTAATGCTAATTATTGTGTAAATTGAATAACTTGGTTATTCATTTTGTGTAATATTACAGGTGTAGGTTACGTTTAGGTGATTTTATTGTCTTTTAGTAAACTAGATTCCTAGCACTTGCTATTGTCGTTTTATTATAACTTATTTAGCTATCTACATTCTCTCTCCCCTCTTTACTATTTTCATGTTACGTATAAGATTTTTAACTTCCTACTTCATTAGATTTTAATTACATTGTTTATTATGTCGTTATATCCGAATTTGTCATCAGTGTTCTGTGAAGCCAGGGTAAAATACTGATTTTACAGATTATCTCCTTTATAAATATACTTTCTGCAGAATAATTAAAATGTTTCAATAAATTTTTAATCTACTACAAAGCCCAGTTGGTGTTATTTAATAAATTCCCCATGACTGAGGATTAAGAAATATAGTAATATCGAGAAAAGGGAAGGATGTGGCTGCAAAAATACCGCCCCGCGATCGCGCCCGTCACACTAAACCGCGCGAGCGCCCGAAGGTTAAATCCAAATATGAGGCAAGAATGCATTCGAGGTGATTGGCGCCACTTGGAGCATTTCTCTAGAATAAGGTGGGCGAGTCGGGTCTCGGCTCCCGAGTAACGCTTCACGGATCCCCCGCCGGCCATTACGTTGTCCGCATTGTAGAAATTAAGATCTGAAGTGGAGAGCATTTTTCTAAATTTTAGTAGATGTGAAATTTATACTTTTGTAGGTAATCGCGAATGAAGCTTTTCCGATCTTTCTAACAGTACATTTTGCTATGTTGATCTTTCCTGAAAGGCAGTCATCTTTTTAATGCTATATTTGTTCAATCTTCTCTGCTTTTATTATAATATCTTAACAATAACAAATCTTTGAATATGAAAATTCGTCTTTCACAATAAAGTATTAATACATCAAATTACAGGTATTTAGTGTTGAGTTTCATCTGTATTATTATGATCTGGTTGTTCGTGATACAATTGTACATGCTGTTTTGCCTCGCAACCGTTTTTGATGTAGAGATGATAAGAAGCAAAGGAAACCCGTGTTCATCTCTATAAAGATTAATTAATCAATTTATTACTGCACCGTTAGTGTAATGGATTGATATTTCATTTAATTTTACACTATTTATAAACATATTGTGTATAAATTCACTAAGAACTAATACTTTTCCATGTATGAGTGTTTCCCAATTATGTAAAGTAAGGTCATAGGATACTAAAAAGGAATAAATAGATTACTGTCATAAAGTGTTAACATGAGTTTATTGTTACGTTTTAAATAATATTTACATATTTACAATGGAAGGTTTTCATTGATCAATTTACAACTCGCTACAATTCTTTATTGCTTTATACATTAACCTACTAAAGTTCAAAAACACATCAGTTGTGCTTATATTCATCTATCAATTCTAAAGTATAATATCATAAAAATAATAATATACAAAATAATTATGCAATTACATGAAGTATATTAAAAACATACGATTCTTGAAAAAAATTCTTATTTCTGGAAAAAATTGTTTCAAAATATGGTATTACAATGCCATTATTCTTTCAAACAATCAAAAATGATTAAGAAAATGTAAAATAGCTCTTGAATAGGTGAGTTAAACAATAGCACAAATGTGAGTGGATATCACTCCAACGCATTTGAGGAAGGTGTCTATGACCTTGGCAAATATTGTAGCATCATCATTACCTGGACGGGACCCCCAGAGTGCACAAGGCCACTTTCAACAGAATGTGATCCAGAAGCGGATGAGGAAATGGCAGTGGGAAAAACTCGAGGGACAGATTACGGAGTGTATCGAGGAAGTGGTGACGATGGAGTTGGGGTTGTGGCGGTGGGTAAGTTAAGGGTAGTGACAGTAAGGATTGTGGCGGTGGTACGTACTTTGAAATCTAATGAGACGCCGATATCGATTAAGCAGACACTTCTGTTAAGGGTTACTTATTTGCGGAACCGATAGATTTTCCCATATGACATTTTAAGTGGTCGCTTGATTTGGACCCGCGGTCTCCGACAGACTCATTTCGTAGTTTAATCTGTTTTCGACGGTCATGATTTCCTGCCGAATTTTCTAATTTGATCCGTAACACTACAAGAAGAGGAGACCGTAGAATATATAGTTTATTTGTGTCTTCCTGTGATCGAAATCACTGTCAGGATACATAGAATAGTACTATATAATGTTACCTATTTTACGGAATAATTAAAATTGTCTTCAGATAACAGTTAATTTCCATGTACGCTCCCAACTTTGGACTAGTACACGGCTTCAAGATTGTTATGTATATCGGCTTCAAGGCTGGTTCTGAATCATGTACACAAATGGAAAGAAATAACTAGCGGAGTGAAGACATCAAATAGTGTAAAAAGGAATGCAAATACCGAGAGCTGAAGGATTTTTTATGTGTGTTATTTATGTTCACACGTGTAAAAACCCGTATATTATAGCCAGTGAAATGAAAAATGTGTTTACAAACAATGCAAATACTAAAATTAAACTGTATTCGCTTCTTATCATTTTCATCAAGATGCTACCTTTTCTTCGGAACCATGAGAAGGACCGCTTAAGACATTAAGACAGGTTTCACTATACTTCATGTCACAGTGTAGGCTTTTATTACTTGATTGCGGTATCAGCAAAATAACAGTTTCTAAGGCACGCATAACACATCGGAAGCGATAACTTACCAACTTCTCGAAAGGAGAAACAAAGTTGATCTCACATTCTTTTTTTACTACCCTGAGAAAGATGTGTTCCTAAACAATGCCTTGGACGGCAGTCTGTTTGCAATTTCTCAACATATCCACACACATTTCATGTGTGTTTCACGACAATGATTTTTAACGTTTTCGGTACCGAAATATTGACAGATTTGTTTTATTAATAATATGATGAGCGTGCGCAGTATGTGGAGTAATAGTTTAGCAGAATGTCGTTGATATTGCATTTTCAGAAATACCATACCTACCTTGTACGTAATGCATAATTTCGGGAAAATTGAAATGTTATGGTCCGCGCCTACTGATAAACAAGGTTTTTTAAAAAGGCCAGTAGAGAACGGAGTTGTTAATCAAACTAAAATGGCGCACAGATCAGGAAATATTTTCCATGCCCGTACGATTAATTCTAGTCCAAGACACCCTGTTTATCGAAATAAGGCAACAAATTCTCAAACGCGTCTCTAAACAATGGGCTTTCATACATTTTAACGAATGTGTCTACTTGATCCCCGTTAGTCATTTCTTCCTCGGTGATGTTCTCCATGTCCGGCGTGTCTTCTGGCTCAGCTAACACCGCGGCCATTGTCGTCATCGCCGACGATAATCCAAAGAAAAGTGTGCGATTGATCTCTTTCTGAAGATCTTCATATGTGAAGACGGTTCCAGTGTAACCTAATTTCTTCGCATAGGTCGCAAATACTTCGCAATACTCGCGCAACAAGTCCTCAAAGTGGTCGATTCTCACCTGATTGCGGAGACTCGTGAAAAGGAAGTATTGCAGTTCAATTGCTGGTGAAGTCTTTCTCGCAATTTGGAAATCAACGAACCTCATGTCTTTGGGCACTCCGGCCTCGGAATAGTTGAACAAGATATTGTTTACCCAGCAATCCCCGTGAATGAGAACGTTCACAAATGCGTCGGTGGGGTTATTCACATTGATGATCCTATCTACAAACGTATCTAGAAGCCTGTCCAGTTTACTGGCTATTTCGCCGAATCCTTCCCATTTTCTAACAGTGTCTGTAATTCCCTTTAATAATGATGGCATAAACATTTCCAATCTTTTGCGATTCATTTCGCCAAATAGAGAGTCTACAAAGTCCGATAAAAACTCAGGGTAGCATTCACTGTAAACGAAGGACAATGCATGAAAGCGAGCCAAATTCTGAATAATTAATTTCGCATGTGGGTAATCAAGACGGTTCTTCCTTGACGCCATCACAAATCCCTGCGGTTTGAGATCTTCGAGAATCAAAATGTCTTCCCGAGACGTCTCGTAGAAAGCAGGGGAGAATTTCTTGAATAAACCGCTACCTAAGCGTGAATCAGCAAATGCGTATAGTTTAGGGAGGACATCATTGTATATAGAGATTTCTCGTTTAAAGACACCTGTTTCGTCAATGTAATTCTGCATAAATTCTCCTGGTGGAAATCCTTTTACAACCAGGTCCTTAGAGTGTACGTCATCGGACTCGGGAAGCCTGTATTCCACATATGTGCGGTAAATGAGACTGAGATAGTTGTCTCCCTTGCCGGTTGCACGCTTCACGTCAATGTTAACAATAATCGCCTTTTCGTCCAAGACTTGTTGTAGCAGTTGTTCATCAATCCAGGAGCCATCATCATCCGGTTCCAGTTTTGAAATGTTATCTTCTTTAGGAGATCTGTAATAAGAAAACGCTTATTTTTTTGTTGAAATTATATGAAATATGCCCTAATTAGTATCAAAGTGATGTCGATTCATTAAATTCTAAAATTAATTAATGGTGGTTTATATGTGAGTGTTTCATTTTAGCTTTTAGTTCGTATCACAAAAAATGTAGATGAGAAATATGATAATCAAAATTGTATAACAGATATATCTAATCCGAAGTGCTCTGACTTGTAGAGTTGAACAGGTCTTTAGAATATCAGTGAACATTGAATGAACTATTGGTACAATACATCACACGATATACTTTCTTCCATTATCTGTAGAGATTACATAAAATTACAATAATTACATTGCCAATGATACGTGATGAATATTGCATTCATTCCTTTGCATTAACTTACTTGATCCCTTGTTACCTACTTGAATTCATTGAATTACTTGAATATTACTTGAATTAGAAAAATAACGGTCGCAAATAAAAAAAAACGTATTTTATATATTAATATTTCAACTAACTCTTGCAAGACAGTGAAACACAACAATCTCAATTTCCTAATATAAAAGTTACACTTAACAGAAAAAATTGAACTTACAGCTGCACATGTGATCAATATCCGTTTATCATTATCGAATATATACACAGTAAGTTTTAACAGTAAAAATACAACGGATTTTTGATTTTACAAGAATGGTGAGTAAAGAAATATGGAAACTTTGAGTGCGCCAGATTATATTGAAATTCAAAATTATCGGAGAGAGAAAGAGAGAGAGAGAGAGAGAGAGAGAGAGAGAGAGGTAAAAAGTAAGAATAGGAAAAAAGGAAGAGGGAAAAGAGAGGGGAAAGAGAGAGGAAAGAGAGAGTGAAAAAAGAAAGACAGAGAGAGGAAAATGAAAGGACAAAGAGGAGGAGGGGAAGAGGAGAGAGGGGAAGAGGAGAGAGGGGGAAGACAAGAGAACAAGAGACCGCGGAAAAGCGAGACAAAGAAAAAGAGAGGGAGGGGAAAGGAGGGAGTGACAAAGAGAGGGAGGGGAAAGAGAGAGATGGAAAGAGAGAGAGAGCAAGAGGGAAAAGTGAGCGAGGAAAGAGAGAGCAGGTCTACGTTTGCGGGGTTCTGCTAGTTATAATGTAAAGTTGTAAAAGAGACTTTGATCGCTTAATACCATGCAGTTGCACAGCGATCTAAAATAAATAAATAAACAAATCACGAAGACATTTTATTCCAGTGAGTGAGTATTTAGTAGGTCGGGGCGCCTCAACTCTTCAAACCATTAGTACCTTGAGCGCAGTGCATTTCATAGCCGCGAAGTGACGGTTTTCCTTTCGCGTTTTTTACGTCAGATGCGGCGCTGCCTTGGGATTCCATGGTTACATGCCTGAACGTCGCAGCGTTCTAGGTATACTTCGGCCGTCATACTGCAACCTTTCGCCATTACGCCCTGAGGAAGGTCTCAGTATGACGGCTAAAACGTTAGCAACTATGCCTCGGACGCGGCGCCTCTCACAAGGGAACTTCTAACAGGTTCAAGTCGAAATCTGACGTGATTTCTTTCTATTGTAAGTCTATAGAGGTATTACACTATTTATTTATGATGGGATAAAATTAGCTGCCCTCGTGCACTGAAAGTCGCTGAAAAAAAAGTATTTTGTCAGTTTCGACCACGCTGTTATCACTAACGCCATGAATGCCATTTGCTGCAGCGAGTGAAAGACTCACGTAGTGCTGTCAATGCTCGCTAGGATCTCTATTTATCGATTATAAATCGGCGTTTCTTTATTTACCACGAGTGCAATTACATGCCTTTATTCACGTGTTACGTCAATATTTTTTCGTTTCCATCCGAAAATATATTTATTTTTGAATAATAGAAATATATCTTTAGTATTCCATATTTACAATCGATGACGTCATTTTCATTCTGAACAAGACCAATTTTAATAAACCTTGCATCGTGTATTTACGATCACCATAATGACTTAGTTAATTCAGAAAGAACGGATGATTTTAATAATATTTTAACTATCAAACGACATGGTGAGTGGCGTTCTTTTGCTGTACCAGAAAGCTTCATTAAAAATAAAATACAAATTGGAAAAAGTCCCGCTGCAGGATCAGATTTACCAGTCGCAGTGATGTCCACTACCTCAACACCTGCAAGCGCTCTCGCTAGGCCGAGTCATGTCCTAATTAGTGATGTAAATATTCACGAGTCTTCAGAATTGGTTCCAAGTAACGCTGGAATTTCAAATCTTCTTCAAATCTAAGTAGTTGTACATTGATTATATACATACAGAGTAAGTAGTAAGTAGTAGTAGTAGTAGTAGTAGTAGTAGTAGTAGTAGTAGTAGTAGTAAGTAAGCATTAAATTTGATCATAAATGCTTATTTTTCATATTACACAAAACCTTCGAATCCCAACTATTTGTTTATTTTTTATGTATTCATAGATACTTAATTAAATGGTTTTGAGTATTTTGCAAAGTTATTATTGGTAATTGTGTAGGTTTAATTGCACGCTTTGCCATTAATGTAGTGATAGTAAAGGATGCTTAATAATTAATGAATATAATTCATTTACAAACCGAAAAATACAATTAAAAGAAATATATTTAGGCCGATTAATCTCTACATCAACGATTAAAAAGTTCGATCATATCAATTCATTTTTTTAAAATGTCTAATGTTTTTAGATTTAATTTTAAAAAAATCAAAGGTTGGCAAACAATGTTTACTACACTTGCATGCCGCGGGAATATTCGGCGTCACATCGGGTTTCTGAATCTCAATGTCGAAGAACTAGTGCCCACAAGTATAGGCGCTGCGCCGTGCGGTATCAAGGGCAAGGGAAATATCATTAACTGAGTGTTTCGGAGCTCTGAATTGGAACTGGTGCCCTTAGAAGCGCTTGTTTCCTCCGCGGACATTTTCTCACAAAAATCAGGGCGGCACAAACCCTTCGGGAACGACGCTTGGCGTCGTGAAAAATGTGAAAGTTCGATAATTTTTCACTAACGTCCAGTGCGATGTGGGCATATATAAACTAGTTGTGCTAAAGAAGCACGTACTTTCTAGCCCGTACTTTCACGCAAAATTACACGAAAGATAACCAAATTTCGGCAGATCGATTGGGGAATGAATTTTGGAGAAAATCGACTGAACGGTTTAGCCTCTAGCGTTGTTCACAGACGGATAGACGGACAGACATGTCATTCGATTTGTCGGTATCAAGGACCCAAAAAATACGGATTCTGGCTACACTACGTGTTCAAGGTAATTTTTCCAAATTTAGCAACTGGATTTATCAACTTTTTCGTTTCTAAGGTCCTGTAATTATAGTTTTTCTGTCGAAAATTCGCCGTTTTTTCGCGCATTATATAACTTTTTTTGTAATACGTAAGCGGTAGCGAGAGATTAAAAATGAGGCCAGAAAGGTGCCTTGTTAGACAGCCAAGTAACTATTGAGTGCTACTCGGCTGCCTGCACTTTCATCTCGAATTCCCCTGCCCGGTTTCTCCCTCAGCGGAGCGCTGCCGCAGCCGCGAGAAGATCTAAGCGTCCGAGTAGTCCGACGACATGTGTGGTCTCGGAAAAAGCACGGCCAGTTTTTCCCGATTTCACTGCAAACCGTTTGCAAACCGACAATCGTTGTTAGGGCGTGATGTATTTTTTCCCGCTACTTCGTCTGCAGGCCATGACAGCAACAATGATCATCCTGACATCATGGTTACTGCAGAAGCTCTACTAACTTGTATTTGGGGTGCCACATGGAAACATAAACTACGGAACTCATTATTTTCACATGATATCTAAAATACACTAAGTTCATAATTTTCACTTTCTCGCGCTTGCTTCCTAAGAAGAGAAAGCATTGTACTCGTACATGTGTACATAAAAAATCCTGTTGCCAGGCACTGGCAACGAAATTTTGTTTTTTCATATAGTAAATTACTTCCTCTTACACTCAGGAATGTCTGAATGTACAACATTCAAAATTTATTTTATGGTTCTTGGTACCGCAAAATCGATTCACGGGACAACTGTCCCGTGTGGTCTGTCTGTCCGTCTGTGGTTAAAGCTGTTCAAAATATCAAAAATTGATATTACGCTATCAAATTAAAGGAACTCAAGGACCTCTGACTTTGAATCGGATATTTTTATTTTGGAAGTACTTCACGTGAGGCCTCAACAACATTTTCAAACTTTTCTCAGACATGTTTCTAGCTTTTTTATTGAACTTTGTCCATGGATGGCGCAATAGACGCTTAATACAATTGTGAAAGTTATTTTTCTCTAAAATATTTAATTTTCAATAATTGCGAAAGTTCAATTTTTTCGGCGTCTTCCTACAACTAAAGTATTTAAGATAGAGATTTGTTTCCTTACTGAAAATTGTTCTTTAAAGACCAAGTTTGAACTAAGGTAATGTTCAATTTTTCGAAAATATGAGTATTTTTGCGTGAAATATGAGCAATTTTTAATTTTTCAAAACGGCACCAAATGTTTTCTTAAAAGTTTCTCCTCGTATCTATCAAAAGACGATAAAAAAGTTATGAAAAGTTGAAAAGTCTCTTTCTCATGATGAATTCATTTTTGAAAATTGTAACAACTTAACCTTTCAAAAAACAAAATTGACGAGAGATTTTTGCCTTAAACAAAATGTGTTCTAAATCATCATCTTTTGAAAATAGGTCACGTACAATTTTTTTAACGAAAGCGTTGTTTTTGCGTAATTTGTGCTTGATATTTAAGCAAATAAAAAAACGAGGAACGCTTAAAAGAATGACGCAGGTTTCACTTTTGTTGAATTCTCCGAATTTTCCAAAAATTGCAAATTTAGAAATAGTGCGAGAAAGTATGTTATATTGTAACGCC